CTGGCTCTCCGCCGGTGGGGCTGCCGGTGCACGTTGGGGGTGGGGGTGGGGGTAAGGTCAGTGTATCCGGTACCAAGTGTAGATGTGTGCGTGTCGCTAGGATCATGTGCCCCAGGGGGTGATCGGGCGCCTGTTTCCAACTTTTAGTCTGTTTCTGTGTTTGTGTACCGGGAAGGTGGGGGTTCAGTGTGAGTGTCTGACTAAAGTGCAACTGTGTGTGCGTTTGTTGGGGTAACTGGTGTCGGGTCTTGTCTTCGTGTGTGACCCCGTGTGCACGGGTGTGTGGCTCAGGCACCACCGGTCACCATGTGAGTGTGCGTAGCTGAATCCTCTCCCCCGCCTTCCTTTCGTTTTGAGCTTTGAGCTTTCCTCCCACCCGGGGCTGGTCCGCGGCTGAGCTCTGTTGGTGCGGCGGCACTCGGGACGCTCCGTAACGGGACTTTGGGGGTGTCGAGCTGTGAGTGCACCCCTCACATCCCTTTCCGTCACGCAGAGCCGCTGCTGCCTCTGCTCAGAACCCAAGCCTCGGCCGCTGGCCATGGAGGTGGCGCCGGAGCAGCCGCGCTGGATGGCGCACCCGGCGGTCCTGAATGCGCAGCACCCCGACTCGCACCACCCGGGCCTGGCGCACAACTACATGGAGCCCGCGCAGCTGCTGCCTCCGGATGAGGTCGACGTCTTTTTCAACCACCTCGACTCGCAGGGCAACCCCTACTACACCAACCCGGCCCATGCGCGGGCGCGTGTCTCCTACAGTCCTGCGCACGGTGAGCCCAGGGCCGGTGGGTAACTGGGAGGTCTGGCGCCGAGGCGCGGAAGGGGAGGAGGGCCCGGCTGCCTGCTTCCCGGATGTGGGATTCGCAGGAATCGGAGCAGCTTGGAAATTGGGGCGGGAAAGTTGGGGGCAGCGGCCTCTTGGGGAGCGTCTGGGTCCCACAGGGTTTCTGTCCATTTCCAGCTGGCCCGTGGGGGTTCCCTCCGGGCCCAGTCCAGTGGGGTTCCTTCTGTGCCACTTGTCCTTCAGTTCCAGACTGACATTCCTGATTATTGCCAGTTCTTACGTTTCTGGTTTTCTTTAGGGAGGAGTTACTGCTTGTCGTATTGTGAGTTTTGGTCCTGTGTATTCACGTCCTGGCCGAGCCCAACTCCTGTATCCTAACCCTTTTCTCTCCTCCCACAGCCCGCCTGACCGGAGGCCAGATGTGTCGTCCACACTTGTTGCACAGCCCGGGGTTGCCGTGGCTGGACGGGGGTAAAGCAGCCCTGTCCGCCGCTGCAGCACACCACCACAACCCCTGGACCGTGAGCCCATTCTCCAAGACACCGCTGCACCCCTCAGCTGCTGGAGGCCCCGGAGGCCCCCTCTCCGTGTATCCAGGGGCCGCGGGCGGGAGTGGGGGAGGCAGCGGGGGCTCTGTGACTTCCCTCACCCCCACTGCAGCCCACACTGGCTCCCACCTTTTCGGCTTCCCACCCACGCCGCCCAAGGAAGTGTCTCCCGACCCCAACACTACCGGGGCTGCCTCCCCAGCCTCCTCTTCCGCAGGAGGTAGTGCGGCTCGGGGAGAGGACAAGGATGGCATCAAGTACCAGGTTTCGCTGGCCGAGAGCATGAAGATGGAAAGCGGCAGCCCCCTGCGCCCAGGCCTGGCTGCTGTGGGCACCCAGCCTGCCACACACCACCCCATCCCCACCTACCCTTCCTATGTGCCGGCTGCTGCCCACGACTACAGCACCGGACTGTTTCACCCTGGAGGCTTCCTGGGTGGCCCTGCCTCCAGCTTCACCCCTAAGCAACGCAGCAAGGCACGCTCCTGCTCAGGTAAAAGCAGGTGCTAGGGACCTAGTGGAAGTGGAGCCGGTTTGTGCTTCGGGGAGTGGGCCTGTGATATGGGAGAGGAGGCAATGTCCGTTTCCCAGATCTAGGAATAAGTGGTGTCCCTCTCTAAGAGTCCCAACAGATGTCTGAGACCCAGAATGGGGGAGACGGGACCCTGAAACATTTGCCTTTTTCCTAAGTGTTCCTGGTGGCCCCCAAATTTCATTTTCCTTCCCCACTTCTCACCCTCCCCTCCAAGGCTGGCCACTGCCAGACCAGAACACAGAAAGGGAATTCTCCCTTCCTCTCCCTGAATCTGAAACGAAAATTCAGTGTACGAATATAATATGCAGGTGAGAGCAGCGAGGCTGTGTGTACGTGTGTGTACGTGCACGTGTGAGTCTGTGTGAGTGCTATTGGTACACTCCAGAGGCTCCAGACCCTAAAGGAATCTGGTTCTCCAACTCAATCAGTCCAATCTTGGGATTTTGGTGGCTCCCGATCTACTTGGGAGATTTCCCCAAAGCAAAATTCCCAAGACCTGTTCCTGCCCTGCCCCCTAGCATGTCCTTCATTCTCCCTCCCTGAAGGCTGGAGTGAGGGAATGAAACTGTAGGTGCTTCTGCTCTTCTGCATCAGGAGCTGGCTGGGGCCGAGCTAGGTTTTTCCAAGAATCTGGCCGTAGAGCAGAAATGGTGACTAGTGTGGGGGTCCTGCTGTCGATGTTTCCTTCCCAATCCTTTTAAGCTCCGGAAGAGGAAGATTTTAAAAACCTTTACTCCTGAGTCCAGGACCGACTCTTTCTTGCCCATATATATTGACAATTTAGTTTAAACTAAATGTGGCAAAATATCCTAGGTAACATGACGTTAAGGCAGCTACCCTGCTTGATCACTGACTGCCACCGGCTACCACCAGCACCCACCTTAGTTTCATCTCAGGGTCCCCGTTCTGCTCAGACCAGGTAGCTTGCCTTTAATTAGTCCTTTCTTCCAAGTTTGTTTTACATTCTATTTGAAGTCCAGATGGTCTTTTAACAAAAACAAAAGAAACAAAATACCAAAAAGCCTACAAATAGCGAAAAACCAAGACCACTTCATTTATTAACCTAAAAACGAAAGGACTTATTATTTATTTTATTTTAAAGAACAACAACTTCGATCCAAGTCTTGGACTGAACTGTAGGGCCTCAGTGGAAGGGCAGAAGTTGGGGAGAGAAAAGGATGTTACCCTGGACTGAGAGCAGAAAGACGGGATAAAGGCTGAGGGCATAGACGTGGGGCAGAGACTAGAGAGATGGCTGACCGTGGTTGGGGGTGGGGTGGGGTAGGAAAGAGACAAAAGAAGAGAAGCAGAACCAGAAAGGGGGCCAGAGTCCCTCTGGGCCCAGCCAGGTTGAGCTGGGTGACTGTTGCCACAGCCCTGCCATCAGCAAAGTTTGTTGTAAATACCCTCTCCTTGTCGCTCATTTGGAGAATCCGAACCCTATCCCTGGCCACACTTCTCCCTCCTGCCCTGTTCCCCTTTCTTCCAGAGAGGATTTTGAAGAGGGAGATTTGGACTTAAACTACTCTCCGAACTCCCCTCAGATGGGGGAGATCCCTTGGGTCCTTCTTCCAGCCTAGGTTGGGACTAAAAGTCATCCCCCTGAAGCAGCCTGGCCAAGGCAACTGCTGCCTGATCGGTCCCTGCTTGGCCACCTCCTGTGACCTTGTCAGTTAAGCAGTCCTGGTATCTCTCCCTGTCCCCCTTCAGAAGGCCGAGAGTGTGTCAACTGTGGGGCCACAGCCACTCCTCTCTGGCGGCGAGATGGCACTGGCCACTACCTGTGCAATGCCTGTGGGCTCTACCACAAGATGAATGGGCAGAATCGGCCGCTCATCAAGCCCAAGCGGAGACTGGTAGGCAGCGGGTGCGCGACGGGTAGCAGGTGGCTGGGGAGGTGGCCGCAGGGAGGCATGCAGGGGACGCTAACCTGGGCAGGAGCCGATAGTTAATTAAAAACTAACAGAACCCTTCAAATGCAGGTGATTTGCCACTTGAAATCCTGTTTTATCTTTAAATCACTTGGTTGTCAGTTGGGGTCGCCTTTCTTTCAGATCAGATTTTTTTCAAGCCAGATTTCCTCTGCAGCCCATCAGGGACCCTCACCCCACTCGGCTCAAGGATAGCGAAAGTTGAGTGTCCAAGGGCCCAGCTCCCATCCCCTGGCCTCTGTTTAACTCTTTTTAAAAATAGTGCCATGAAGTAATTTTCCTTGTGGCTTAGGGCAGCTCGCTCGCTTCCCAACACACAATCTCCTCAGGCCTATTTAAATAAAACACTCACACCAACCACCAAAAAAACCTGCCCTTTATTATTTTTCCATGGAGTCACCTATACTGTGTATTTTCATTTGAGTGATTTTAAAAAAATGCCCTTTCGGATCTCCTGCCGGAGTTTCCTATCCGGACATCTGCAGCCTGAAGATAAGGAAACTTCGCATATCTGTTTCCGGACTCCGAGAGTTTTTAGAGTCTCTCTTCAGCTCAGTCCTGCCTCTCGCTGGGCTGTTTTGAAATTTCTAATACCCTCCACTCTGCAAATAATGTGTAAATGCTAAGAATAATAAATATATTTTTTCAGGGCAAAGTGATTTATGAGGGCTAAATCACTCACCTCTTTGGGGGCCCCCTTTTTTTCCCCTGCAGCGAGGGCGGGTGAGGGCCGGGTAGGGGTGGAGGCTACGGTATTGGCCCCTGAGTCAGAATTCCAGCTTCAGGCTGCTTACTCACTCTCAACCCTCCCCGCCCCGAGGCTGCAGCCTGTAGTCCCCTCTGGGACTGAGCTCCAGCCTGGGGCCATTCCAGCTTCTGCTGGCTTCAGGGCGACCCCACCCCCACCCCTGCAGCTGGTGGGTCTCTGGGAAGTGTTGGGGGAACTCATTCTGTGACTGTAGGGCTGATGCTGGTTGACCCTGGAGAAGGGTTCGGCTTTTTTGGATAAAGATTCTCTTACCTTCTCTTACAAGCTTTCCACTCCCTTCTCCAGGAACCAGACACTCACTTCCAGACGACCTCTGCCCTGCATTCCTTGAAGGGTTGAGGGTGAAGGAGTTAGAACTCTGAGGTTTGGGGCACAAAGGGCTGTACAGATAGACCAGCATTGTTCAATAAACCTCTGAGGATGGAAATGTTCTAGATCTGCATGGTCCACTATGGTAACCTGCAGCTCATGTTGTGACTGCTGATTCCCTGAAATGTGACCAATGCAACTGAAGAAATGGGATTTCTACTTTTATTAAGTTGTAGTTTAAGTAGCCACATATGGCTAGTGGCTACTGTGTTGGACAGAGCAGCTTGAGTGAGACTCCCTAAATATTTTACATCTCCAACCTGGGCAATATAGGGTACCCCTGCCCTGTCCTCAGGCAGGACACTGACACACCCAGGATTTTGTATTTTAAAGGGAGTCCTGTGGGAGGAGACAGAGAAGCAACTCCAGACCCAGGAAGTCGAGGGGGAAGGAACCAGCTTTTTAAACTAAAGAGCCCTTATCAGGGCCTCAGTTTTCTCATCTGTAGAGTTAGATTGTTTGGTGATTGGAGGAGAAGGTTGATTTTTTCCTTCCAGCCCTTGAAACCCCTTTGATTATGAGATCAGGCTTCTGAGAGTTTTTTATTCTAAAGTTCTGTGATTGTTTAGATCTCAAATTCTAAATCTCCACAGCTCTGAGATGCCTTGATCCCCCTGGGGGATTTATGGCTCCTTGGCTAAGTTGCTGGGGATGGGGTGGGGTGGTGATGGGTATGGGGCAAAGGTTTGGGAGGCTGGTTGAGGTGAGGCATGAGAGCCCAGACTGCTGATGCTGGCCCCTCCCCTCTCAGTCTGCTGCCAGGAGAGCAGGCACTTGTTGTGCAAATTGTCAGACGACAACCACCACCTTATGGCGCCGAAATGCCAATGGGGACCCTGTCTGCAATGCCTGTGGCCTCTACTATAAGCTGCATAATGTGAGTCTGTCTGCCCCCACTCCACCCACCCACCCCTCCCTAGGGTCCGCTGCTCTTCGTGCTGCCAGCCACACTCTTCAGCTTGGCTTGGCTTCGGAAAGCCCTGAGAGCCAGAAGGGGTCCCATAAGAGAGGGCAAGCTGGATGGGGGTTCTCTACCTACATCAGGGCCCAACAGGAATCTCTGTTTAAAACAAAATCAGGGGGGAGGATTTTGTTTGTGTTGATGGGGGGCAGTGCTGGCATTTAGTGGGCACAGTGCCCTGCAGTGTGTGGGTCAGCCCCACACCGTGACAAGCACCCTTCCTGGAACCATGACAGTGCTGGTGATAAGACCATGGTGGGCATTTGGAGGTGGGGCCCCCAGCTTAGACCTGCCTCTGCCCCAAGCCAAAGCAGGAGGTGAGGGGTCTTGCTCTGGGAAGGGAACTTGACTCCCTGAAGTCCTTGTGGTTGCCCCTAGGTGAACAGGCCGCTGACCATGAAGAAGGAAGGGATTCAGACTCGGAACCGGAAGATGTCCAACAAGTCCAAGAAGAATAAGAAGGGGGCAGAGTGCTTTGAGGAGCTATCCAAGTGTATGCAGGAGAAGGCCTCCCCCTTTAGCGCTGCTGCCCTGGCTGGACACATGGCACCTGTGGGCCACATCCCACCCTTCAGTCACTCGGGACACATCTTGCCCACCCCGACGCCCATTCACCCTTCCTCCAGCCTCTCCTTTGGCCACCCCCACCCATCCAGCATGGTGACCGCCATGGGCTAGAGACAGCACTCCACAAACAGACAGCTGGATGCAAAGGAGGGTGGTCTGCAGCTTGAGGCTGGATGCTGCCAAGATGGGTGGACCAAAACCTTAGCTGTCTGCCCTTCCCTCAAGACTGATGCCTCTCCTATGAGCCCGGCCGGAGCCCCTTGCTGCCTCGCTTGTGGGCGCTCTGCTCAGTGGTCCCCAGTCACTGTGAAGATTCTCCCTGGAGCGGAGAGGCGGCCTCCGCCCAGCTGCTATCCAGGTGGGGCTTCCATCACCAACAATTGTATGGAGAGCAGAAAGGACAACTTTATGAAGAGAGAAGGAGGGGGCAAGGGACAAACAAAGGAAACCATTTTCAGAAGGAAAAAGGAGTAGGCAAAGATAATTTATTTGCTCTTGTTTCTAACAATGACTGGAAGATTTGGGAAGGTCTGAGCTGTCCAAGGCTCTCCCAGTCTTCCTCACCGCCAAGTGTTGCTTGGCCTGTCCACCTGCCAGGGCTCTGAGGGCAGATCTGCGGGGGACTTCAGCCCACACCTTCTCCGGCCTCCCTCTTTGAAATGCTGAGCCCCAGGCTGGGCTGAGCCAATCTCGAGGGGTTATTGCCCACAGGAGGCAGAGCCAGTGCGTGCCCTGCTGGTGGGCCCTGGAGGGCAGAGACAATCACAGGCGGTCCTGCGCAGATTCCCAGGCCTGGGCTGGGTCACAGGAAGGAAACAACATTTTCTTGAGAGGGGAAATGTCGCCCAGTTTGCTCCCCTGGCTCTGAGGCTGAAGCTGGTGTGACTTGTGTCCCCCTAATGGCAGAGCCACAGCCCGCTTCCCTTACCAGGTGGACCCCTGTACATACATTCTTTTTCTGCTAACCCCTTGGTCCCCTCCCCTCCCACTATGAGACAAAAGAAAAAATTATTTTAAAAAACTTGTATAAGCTTAACTCACTGATGAGTTAGTTGTTTTATTTTTAAACTCTTTTTGGGTCCAGTCAATTGTACTTTGCTACGGAAGCCCTTGCTATGGAAAGGAATAAAACCTACAAACCAAGGCTGTAGCTTTGCAATTATTTTTGGAAAAGTTTTTGGATCCCACAGCCCTAGAATGGAGAGCTGGGGGCCAGGGGAGGGGCCTTGGCTGCTCTTGGCTTCCGGGGGTTGATCTGGCAGGTGGCAAAGGCAGGAGTTGGGGGTGGGTCAAAACCAAGACTGAGAGAGAGGCCACAACCCTGCTGGAGTCCCAGGAGACCTGGGTTCTGCTCTGCTTTGTTGTGGTTGTCTGGATCCTTCCCAAGGTACAGCTGTACATAACTGTGTCTGAGTTTAGATTCTGTATGCGATGGTGGTGGGGTGTGCGGCTGGCGAGGCCAGGCCCCCGAAGAGGATTGTGCTGATATAGTTGACCAAGTGCAATATGGGCAGGCAATCGCTGGAGGGGCACCACCGCCAGGAATAACTTATTTTGTACTAGCATCTGCATAAGAAGAATCGGCAGCATTTTCTGTTTTTATGTTTTATTTGGCTTGTTTTATTTTGGATTAGTGAACTAAGTTATTGTTAATTATGTACAACATTTATATATTGTCTGAAAAAAATGTATGCTATCCTCCTATTCCTTTAAAGTGAATACTGTTAAGAATAATAAATACTTTTTGTGAATGTTTCTGTCCTGTTTTGTGGACTCCTCTGAGGCACCCGAGTCCCTGGTGCACAGATTAGCAGTCAAACTGAACTGCTACTACAGCCAAGTGATTTGGAAGGAAGGGCTCTTGGAATAAGGAATAGGGCCTGCCTGGCTGAGACATGAGATACTGATAGTCCTCTAAATTCCTTCCATATGAATTTCCTCATTATTACCAAACTGGGGTCCCTGGGGGACTGGAGAGGCTCAGGGAGGCTGTGGTTTCTCTGGCCTTTGGTTCATACGCTGATCGTTTTCCTGAGGGCTCAGTTGGAGCTCTGGGAGAACCCAATAAGGACTGACCCCACATCCACTTCCTCTCAGATCCTGACCAGCTCTTGTTTCTGAGCTATCTGTTCACCGATATTCCCAATGTCTTTGATCACTGATGTCATTGGTTGATGTCCTCTTTAATCAATGATGTTGGTCATCAGAAATAGCCACCATGACTGATATTCAATGATCAATAACATGTCTGATCACCAGAGCCTATGATCATAGACATCTGATTACTAACAACTGTCACCAGTACTAAGTCACCAATACTTCATCAATGCCTCTGATGAATTTTGTGTCTGATCACTAATGTCCACAAAATGTGGTCACCTGTGTCTCTAGTGACCTTTCTCATATACGTGATCGTGAATATCTCATCACCAACGTTTCTGATCAGCATATGTGTTCACCAATATTTCTATTCAATGTGACTGGTTGCCAAAATCTCTGGTGACCACGTCTCCCCATTATTTCTGTTCACCATGTCTATGATCACCAATGCCTCTGATCACCCAAGTTCCTGACTACCAGTGCAACGATCACCAGTGTACTGTCACTAATGTCCTAGGTCATCAAGAAGTATGGTCACCAATGTCATTGATCAATGTTTTTCTAATCAATGATAGATCACATCACTCATATATGATCTCCAACACCTCTGATCATGCTATTTCTCATCACCAATGACTCCTAAACTATGTGTTTGGTCACTTGTCTCCAATCACCAACATCTCTAACCAACAATGTTCCTGATCTTAGAATCCTCTTACTGTTAATATCAAAATTTCAGACTATCAATGTGGTCACTAGTGACTTTGGTTATCAATACTCCTGACTGGTCAATGCTGATCACCAAGTTCTCTAGTGTCCAACATTAGTGATCATTGAATCTCCTTATCTTCCAAGTCCCTGAGGACCAATGTCCCTCATACCCTTGATCACCAGTAGTACTGATCACCAACCTCCCTGCTCATTGGTAGTACCAGTCACCTGTGTCTCTGATTACTAAATTCTCCAATCATTGATGCCTTTGATCCCCAGTAGATCACACACCAACCACCAAGATCTCTGGATGTCTCCAGTCAATGAATCTGATCACCAATATTCCTGTATCCTTGGTCATCAAGGATATGAACACCAAATGTGCTTTCATCAATAATGCCCCCCTCACCCACATCCTCAGTTCTCTGTGTCCCTAATCAATGATAATGACATAGCCAATCAACAATCATTCTGGGGCTGGCCGAGTGGCTCAGTTGGTTAAGAGCTCGCTCAAGAGTTTGAGCTCTGAGCAACAGCAGTTCAATTCCCGGCCCGAGCTGAGCAGCCGCTGAGCTGCCAACAGGTGGCAGGATGGCTCAGCTTAAAACAAAACAAAACAAAACAAAACAAAACAAAACAATCATTCTGATCACCAAGATCTCTGAGCACTGCTTCCTGGTCCTTCATGTATGACCACTACCCCCTCTTGTCATGCATTTGAATGACATCATCTCCCCATGACTCCACCACTTCTAATTATAAACCACTCTAGTCATATGTCCCTGATCAATGTCTCCTTTTGACTCTAATCATCATCATCTCTGGTCCCCTGGGTCCCTGATGATTAGTATTTCTAATTGCCAACCTCCTTGTTCCTTGACAGCCATGATGTCCAGTGGTCCAGGAGGCTTTCCTTTCAATCTTCCCATCCCAGAATGCTGGCATTGGCAGGGTGCTTGCTCTGGGCCGTAGAAGCACTGGTCCTGTGAAGGACAGCATGCCTCCTGTGAAATCCCAGATGCCCCAGCTTGCAAGATAGAGTGGACAGAGAGCATCTCTAGGATTCAGGACAACTCTGCCCTTGCTGTACCACCACTACCCTACCCATGTTCTTTTCTTGTGGAACACAAAACTAAAGCAAACATGAACCAGCCTGGGTTCGTGGAGCTGGGTGGGCATTTACCTGCCCATCTGAACACCCGGATCCTCTCAGGCCTGCTAGCAGCTGCCTTTCTAGCCCTTCCCCAGCTCACTGCATTTTGACATCCCCTCCTGCCATCTGTAGCAACTGTGAGGGCAGAGATGTTCTTGTTGTCTTGTGTCCCAGTTCAGAGTGTAGGATTCTGTGTCAATATGGTCATGCATTCAAGTGTGCACTGTACACATGCTTGTTGGACACCTCCTGTACATCTGGCACTGTTCTAGGTGTGGGGGCTACACCAGTGAATGAAATAAATGAATTCAGGGAGCACAGTAATGACTCTACCTGGCCTCAGGGAAACCATTCTACTTCTTTGGCTCCAAATCCAGAGCCCAGAGCCAGAAGGTGGAGTCCAGAGCTAAGAGTCTACAATCTGCAACTCCAAATTTAGAAACCAGAACCCAAAATACAGAGCACAAAGCCTGTACCCCCAAGTCCAGAACTTAGAGCTTGGAGCTCAGAATCTAGAGCTTCCATTCAAGAACTCTGAGCCTGGGGTCCAGAACCTGGACCTCAGAATCCAGATCTCAGAACATGAAGCTCAGAATTAAGGCCTTGACTATGGACTCCTAAATCCACAATCTAGAGCTTGGAGCTCAGAACCTAGAATTTAGCACTGAGGACATGGAGCCCAGGGGCTAGAGTGTGGCTCAGGACCTGGAGGCAAGAATCCAGAGCCCAGGGGTGGGCCAAGTGGCTCAGTTGGTTAAGAGTTAGTTTAAGAGCGCAAGCTCTGAGCAACAGGGCCGCCGGTTCAATTCCCACATGGGCCAGTCAACTGTGCCCAAGCTGAGCTGCTGCTAAGCTGCCAACAGGTGGCAGGACAGCTCAGCTGGTGAGAGCACGTGATCCTAACAACAAGACTGCCTGTTCTATGGTGGGCTACACCTGCACACAACTAAGACTGAACTCGGCACCTTGAGCTGAGCTGCTACCCGGATGGCTCAGTGGATACAGCATGCGCTCTTAACAACAAGGCTGCTGGTTTGACTCCCACATGGGATGGTGGCTACTCCCACCTGCAACTAAGATCGTAACACAGCACCTTGAGCTTAGAGGCCATGAGCTGCCAACGGGCAGCCAGATGGCAACTGGCATCTTCCACAACTAAGATTGAAGAACAACAACTTGGCTGGTCCTCCCCAATTCCCCAACACTGTTCCCCTCCCCCTATTCCTCAATTTGAAAAAAAAAAAAAGGAATCCAGAGCCCAGAGTGAGCCCTGAGAGAAGCCTCCCCTGTTTCTCTGCTACTCTACAGTCTTATTGCTTTCCTTCTGCCAACCAATATGTTTGCAACACCTAGTGCCAGGCACTGTTGAAGTGGGGAGAGGCAACCAGCAGGACACAAGCAGAGGAGTAGATCCCCTGCAGTGTCAGGTCCAAGAAAGTGAAGACTGTCTTGCCATTAATACATCCCCATTGCCTCTCATGGGCTTGTGGTAGGTGCTTCCCAAATGTCTGTTGAATAAATGCATTCATTTATCTCACAAATGTTTATTGACTCTGTTTGTTCTCTACATTTGGGTGGGGGATGAAACACACAAAGATCTTGCTTTGGTGAATCAGAAATCTCTGGCACCCAGGAAATTTTTGGAAGGCAGGGGCTGTTTCTGGGGAAGGCTGTGGTGGCCGTGGTGGGATGGTGTTGAGTGGGGAGGGGTGACCTCCAGGAGCAAGGAAAGCACATTGGCTCTGGCAGGTCCCAGGTTCAAATTCACTTCAGAGCAGCAGAACCAGACTCAGGGGCTTCTGCTCCTGCAGCTTCTGTTCCCTCCTCCATAAAATAATCAGTTTCTAACAATGAGCTCTGCCCAGAGTCATTGTGCGGGTAAATAGTTTCAATGTTGTGGCCTCAAAGCTCCAAAGCAGAGAAGGGCAGGCAAGCCAAGGGCTGCAAGTGGCAGAGGTTAGCAAGGTAATGGTGCCTTTATGATTTCGAGAGGCTTAGTGCCAGGGTGCCTGAAGTGGGTTGGCCTATGTTCCACCAGTTTGCACCCAGGTGGGGCTAGCCCACCCAGGACTTCTTCTCTTTTCCTTCTATCAGGACACTTCCAGGCCCGGAGTCTTATTCTTATTTTCTGTAGGAAGAAGCCAAATCCACTTTGTAATTCTTAGAGACCAGCTCATCCTCCTCCAAAGGTCCCTGCTGCCTTCTGGTGACACACCAATATAAGACAGGGAAACAGCCTTCCCCTTCCCTGGTGCCATGGGTACTGGCCCAGGGGAAGAGGAGTTGGGAGGAATGCCAGCAGTCACTTGGGTGGGAAAGAAGACAAACAAGACGAGCTGCTCCCAAGTAGGTGGGCTGTCTCAATTGAGCGAGATCTGTAGTCCACTGGGTGCTTTTTTGTTTGTTTGTTTGTTTGTTTAGGCAAAATAATAAAGTGATTCCAAACTTTCCCTGGAAAAACTAACAAGACCAGTGGAACGTCAGAAAATTAAGGAAAATAAAGTGAGGTGTGTGTGTGTGTGTGTGTGTGTGTGTGTGTGTGTGTGTGTAAAACGCTTTCCAATATTAAACAAGATTCTATGATCAGGTCATAATCATTCGAAACTTGAGATTCTGCTGTAAGAATCAGCAGATCTATCAATGGCACACACTTGAGTAAGCCTGAAGCAAACCTTATTTACATGATAATGAATGACAAAAGAGATATTCTGAATTAATGCAAGGGTAGAGGGTTACTCAATCAAGCAGAGTTGGAACAACTAGCTGGTTAGCATCTTGCTGTGTGAA